CTAGACTGAAAAGTTAATCACTCCCCTTCTTGCTACAAAACATCTACCTTTACATTTCCGACCCTCACAATCAGTCCTGATAATAATTATTCACTATTGTATCACAAGAGACCCGTCCGTCTGCATTTCATTGCATCAGACCCGCCTAGTCAGATTGAATACTACTCACTGGAGATTCTACCTTCCTCCAGGCCCTCTGGATCTAGGTTCCCTCTTGAAAGCTTGTAAGCCAGTCACTTCTTGCCTTTGTTTCCCCCCGCCCCCCATTTTGGGTAGTCAATGTCCAAGTTGCCCATCCCTGTCTACTCTGTGTGTGGAGAGGGTGGGAATGATTCTTGCTGTACCAGTAAAGATTTTTAAAGAGAAACTTTTCCCTTCTTTCGAGTATAGGTCCAAATTTTGTTTGCAGATCTCCAAGCACTTCCGTTTGTGCTCTTCTGTGAGTTGTTTTGATACCCATCTTGCATAAACTTTTTGAAATCCAAGTCTTCCATGGATTATTTCGTAGGCAAATCCATGGCTGATTTGCAGATTATTTACCACATAATCCACTGTCACTCAACTATTTGCCAGAATCATTTCACATGCATGCTCAATGCTGTCATCAGCCATGAACTAATTTGGATGGGTGTTTTAATATAACGAGTGTGGATAATTTTTGACTCATCCTCATATTTGTTGCTAAGTGAGGTTGAGTCAGTTGATATCTATCCTGTATAGGCTTTCTAAGGAGCAGCTGGTAAGATTTCTACTGCTGACCTAGGTTTAGCTGTTCAATGCTTATTCTGCTGATAATAATTGTCCCTGGGTTGTTGTGTGAAGTGCCGTCGAGTTGGTTCCGACCCATAGCAATCCTTTATAGGGTTTCTGAGGGGCAGCTGGTAAGGTTGAACTGCCGACCTTGCAGTTCAAACAGCTTTGCAGTCTGGCACATTAACCCACAGAGCGCCACCTCAGGACTCCTGTCCCTGAGAGGTGCAAACAATTTGCTGTTGAATATTAACTTACAGGTTGTTCAAACCAAACCAGAAAAGCCAAGGAAGAAAACCCTGGTGATCCACTTCCAAAAAGATTACAGCCAAGAAAGCCCTATGGAGCAATTCTACACTGAAATATATGGGGTTGCCGTAAGTCTGGGTCTACTAGACATCAATGAGTTTGGTCTTTTTATGAATAATGTTGTTGCGAAGTGCCATCAAGTTGATTCCCACTCATAGCTCCCCATATAGGGTTTCTGAGGTGGGTTTCAATGGTACTATAAATCTTTGCTGGAGCAGAAAGCTTCATCGTTTTCCTACAGAGTGACTGGTAGGTTTGAACCAGTGACCTTGTGGTTCAAAGTCTAGTGCTTGACTTACAGAGCCACTGCACTCTCCTTTAATGGATAGTGTTGTTGTTGTTAAGTGCCACTGAGTCTGTTCCATCTCATAGAGACCCTGTATAGTGTTTCCAAAGAGTGACTGGTGGGGTTTGAATTGCCAAACTTGTGGTTAGCAGTCCAGTGCCATATATTATTGTAATTCCAGCTTCCACCACTCATCTGTCAGTTTGATGTACTATGGTGGCTGCTTTGCTGCTGGAAGTTATATCGCTACCAATATTTTAAATATCAGTAGGGTCACCCATAATGTACAGGTTTAGTCAGGAACTTCCAGACTAAGATAGACTAGAAAGATGGAAATGACTGTTGGGTTGTTAGATGCCATCGAGTCAATACCGACTCATAGCAACCCTTTGCACAACAGAACAAAAACACTGTTGAATGATTAGACACTGAAAATCTTAGGACTAGCAGAACACTGGTAGATAGAGTGCTGAAAGATGAGAACCTCAGGGTGAAAGGCACTCAAGCAGAATAATTATGAGGCTGGTGTAGGAGTAGGCAGGATTTTGCCCTGTTGTGCATAGTTCGCTGTGTGTTGTAACTGACTTGATGGCACCTAATAACAACAGCAAACCTAAATGGAGTCTTGGTGGCACAGTGGTTAACCAAAAGGTTGACAATTTGTCTTCCCCATTTTGTGCATACCTCTGTGTCTAATCGGCTCTGTTAATAATGCAGAAGTAATTAGAGTCCTGGTGTGATGCTGTAGGATAAGCACTGGACCACAAGGTCCATTTGAACTGCAAGATCGGCAGTTCAAACTCTCACCCACTCTTCTGAAACCCTATACAGGGTGGCTATGGGCTGGAACCAATTCAACAGCACTTAACAACATATCAATGTAGGGTATGCCTTAAATCTAATGTGTTGTTGTTGAGCATATAAACACAGTAAGGACACACAAAATAGATTTAGGGCACACCCTACCCTGATATGTTGCTGTTGTTGATAAATGCTGTTGAGTCGGTTCCAACTCATCTCCACCTTGTATACAGTTCCCAAGGAGCAACTGGTGGGTTTGAACTGCCTACCTTACAGTTAACAGTCCAGTGCCACACCAGGACTCCAACCCTGATATGGGCTCATTCAATTAACAAAGAAAACCTGTTTCCAGAGAGGATTACATCCAGAAATGCAGAGGTTAAGATTCTTAAGCATTTTTAAGGGACACAGTTCAATCAAAACATCCATTTCCAAAATCAGCCTAGTGTTCTTCTTCCTCTCATTGCGGCAACTTGTCCCCATTACAGAAGCTCTGCACACCTTTACTGAAGGCGAACCAATGCTCTCTTTCAGCAGCATTTCAGACTAATGTCTGATATCTCACTTTGGTGTATAGCTCAGAGTGCATTCCTTGTGTTTCGATGCCCCTGACCTCAGGGAAGGTGGTAGCATCCAAGTTAATGATTGTGCAGATGGTTACATGCTGGCAGATTTTGAAGTGACCATATTTTTTTTTCAGTAAATTTCAGATGAAGGCGTGATTTGTGTAACCCTGACCCCTTCCAGTAAAGTGCGCATTTACATATATTTAGAATTTATAAATCCTGACAGATTCCACAATATTTATAGCCCTCCATAAAAAGCCTTTGCCAGTTTGCAGAGCTTCGCATTTGGCTTCCTAGTATGCTTAAGAGAGTTTAAATAATAATAAATTTGGTGATTTATTCCACCTGGAACAGAAACTTATTCTCCTTCTCCCCCCCCACCCCCCCTTGGCTTGTTTTGGAGCAGATACTATAAATAGTGACACAGACGCTGGGATCAGGAATATGGAATTGAAATTTGAGAGAAAATTACAGAAACATTTCCATTATCACTGATGCCTTGAATGTATTTTAAAAACATTTCTGTTTCTCAAATAATATACCTTCTCTCCTTTCTCCTACACCATCTCAATAATATTTGAGCCCCCAAACCTGTTGCCAGCATCAGGATTCAGTTGCATTTAATGGGAGAGAGACAGTGAACGCATTAGCTGACTCGGTAGGAAAAAGTTGCCTCTGAGGAGCCCAGAGCAATGCTCCAGTGTTCATCTTATATTTCACAGTGTCAGTCTCCCAGGTACATTCATTATTTCAGACCCAGGTCATGCATCCTGCAGGTATGATGAAAAAGTCTCAACTCATGAAAAAAGTTATAAAAACAAAACTAAGTGTAATTAAAAGAGAAAGTCTCAATGTGAAATGTCAGAGGATCAATTTTCATATCCAAACATATCATACTTACCTAGTGCATACATGAACAGTGAACTCCAAATGAAATCATTTGTTTTCTGTAAAACAAAATAAACACAAATCTGGGAAGCACTCCATTGCTTCACAATCTACTGATGAAAGTAGAGAGCTGCCATGAAATGCAGCGTAAGTTGTACAATGGAGTCCTGGTGTGGTGCTGTAGGATAAGCGCTAGAGTGCTAACCACAAGGTCAGTGGTTCAAACCCACCAGCCACTCCTCAAATCCTCTATGGTGCTGTTATGGGTCTGAACTCACTCGACGGCACGTAACAATAAGTGGTGTCATGACAAGTTGTGATATAGCAAGGAGACTTGATTTCCGTCTTCTTGTTTGGGTGGATGGTAAAAAAAGTTGCCTTTGAAATAAAGAGAATAAAAATAATGACTAGCATCCATGGGGACTCCTGGTGTGGCATTGTAGGATCCACACTGGATTGTTAACCACAAGGTCAGCAGTTCAAACCCACCAGCTCCCCTTTGGAAACCCTGTACAGGATCCCCATGAGTCAGAACCAACTTGAAGGCCCTTAACAACAACAAAGCATCCGTGGATGTAGGCTGGATACAGAGTAATTTATCAAGTGGCTGTGGCTCTTTACAACAACCTCCAAATTAGAGAATAGATTTTCATCCTAGCTGAGTAGTGGATGTCACCCCTACTCTACCACCAAGTTTCTCCTAAGCAATCCCCTGGTCTCTTACTAATAGGTTGGCAGATGTTTGGACCAAGCCCCAGAGCCTGTAGTGTTCCACATTTTAATGATTTGTGGTAAACAAAGTAAATGCTTTAAACGGAAACTTTATGAAGCAAGGGTCCAGTTAAGTATGATGGATTTGGGGCAAAGTAGGGAGAAACTGAATGTTGTACAGGGGATATTATTTTTTAAACAGAACACAGGTATGTATGGTTCAGTGCTAATTCTAACACTTTACTTGAAAAATGACTTTTAAAAGAACTGTACTCTTGAGGACTGTCCTTGAGGCAGAGAGAAATTTCCTCTGCTTTTCCATAGCATCTTTCTAAGAGGAAGCGGAGGTATTGAGCTGTTAGACAGTTGCTCAGTGTCTTTGTGCTTCTGTGACCACATTATGGGTCTAACACATATGGATAAATAAACTGTTTTCATTTCTTAAAGTCTATGAAAGGAAACAAGACAAGAAAATTGCCATATTGCTTTTCTTTTTTTGTTGTTTGTTTAAGCTATTAAAGAGGAGAATCCAGTTAGGGCTAATAAAAAGTGATTTCTGAAACAGGTTTGGTTTTTGTTTGTTTGATTTTTTTTTCTTTCTTCCTAACCGCTTACTTGGCAATCACAATCTGGAAAGACTTGTATTAGACCAGTGTTTTGATGCCTTCTCTTTTGTTCTTCTTCCATAGGGCAACCCCTACATGTGCAATAATGAGTGTGATGCAAGTACCCCTGAACTGGCACATCCCCCTGAGCTGATGTTTGATTTTGAAGGAAGACATCCCTCCACATTTTGGCAGTCTGCTACTTGGAAGGAGTATCCAAAGCCTCTCCAGGTTAACATCACTCTGTCCTGGAGCAAAACCATTGAGCTCACAGACAACATAATTATTACCTTTGAATCTGGACGCCCAGACCAAATGATCCTGGAGAAATCTCTCGACTATGGACGAACATGGCAACCCTATCAGTATTATGCCACAGACTGCTTAGATGCTTTTCACATGGATCCTAAATCCGTGAAGGATTTATCACAGCACACGGTCTTAGAAATTATTTGCACAGAAGAGTACTCCACGGGGTATATGACAAATAGCAAAATAATCAGTTTTGAAATCAAAGACAGGTTCGCGTTTTTTGCTGGACCTCGGCTACGCAATATGGCTTCCCTTTATGGACAGCTGGATACAACCAAGAAACTCAGAGATTTCTTTACAATCACAGACCTGAGGATAAGGCTTTTGAGACCAGCCACCGGGGAAATATTTGTAGATGAGCAACACCTGGCACGCTACTTTTATGCCATCTCAGACGTAAAGGTACAAGGAAGGTAAGAGAACTCTGACTTGACAGGGAATGGATGTGTCCAAGGAAAATATCAATGTATTGGACCCATAACTATAGAATGACATGTGTCAGTTTCTACTGTAAGATTTTCTCAGAAACACCAGCATAGAGGTACATTGAAGGCATTTGAAAGCCTTCTGGTTCAACAGTAATTTCCAGAATTGCTGCTGCAAAACCTGGCAGGAGTCCTCAGCATTTAAACAAAGGCAAATAAATAAATAATAAGCATCTTACTTGAGACATAGGAACTTTCTAGAACAGGAAGTGGGTTAAGGCATTTAAGGCAGTGAAACTAAGGAGAACAGAGATGGCTGCTCTATCAGTGAGTGAAAAACAAAAACTATGTCTTATCATTGTTTTCAAATGCAAGGAAATATTTGGAGACCAGTGATTGTTTGCTTCCCCAACATATCTTACTAGTGTACTATACTCTCAAGAGAGGGTTTCAACATGGTACAACTCCTTGCTTATGTCTTGTTATGTTGCACAAAAAGATTCCAGAAATGAAAACTATATTTCCTCAAATTTATTAAAGAAGAACCAAAAGTATTTAGAAGCAGAATGCAGTTGTTTAAGAGGCGCGCGATCTACTTTTCAAGTTTTGATGCTATTATCTTAAAATGCATACGTTATTGTTCTTCAGTGCCGTTGAATCATTTCTGACTGACTAATAGTGACCCTATAGAGGGTTTCTGAGAAGCAGCTGGTGGGTTTGAACCACTGACCTTGTGTTAATCAGTGCAGTGCTTATTCCTATGGTGCTATACCAGGACTCTGTAAAATACCATTTAAAATATGAAACTAAATTGGGCACCCATCATTGTGAATCACGGATGGACAAGCAACTAAAGTTTAAGCACATTAATGGTCACAATCAGGGATGTCTTTGGATTTGATATGATACCAGATACACAATTGAAAAGTTTTCAAGAATTTCAAAGTAATTCAATGAAAAACTTGAATAATGAGAACCAGGACAACCAACATACAGGTTCACAACCCGTTTTTCAAATTGGGGTGTTATCAAAATAATTATAGTATGGCAGTCAAAACCTGAGATAATGAGCAGTTAAAACTGAAGATAATTCATTGTTGTTATTGTTGTTAAGTGCCCATGAGGCAATTCCAACCCATAACAACCCTACATAGCTCTCTGAGGAGCAGCTGGTGAGCTTGAGCTGCCAACATTGCGGTTCAAACTGACCTTGCATTTGTGCATTAACCCACAGCACCACACCAGGACTCCACTAAATATAATACTGTACACCAATATTAGAAGAAAAATAAGAATTATTCTAAACATCCAAAGATAGCTAAATCAAAATATATGAGGGTAAGAACATAAGTGATGTACAAATCATGTAGGTTGCATAAGATTTAAATTGATGAAGTCTGATTCATTAAATTTAGTGACTTCTAGGATCCCTATGGCATCCTGGTGTGGCATTGTAGGATAAGCACTGGAATACTGATTCTCAGATTGGCAACTCAAACCCACTAGCCACTCCTCAGTAACCCTATACAGGGTCACTATGAGTTGGAACTGAATTGACTACATACAGCAACAACAACAACAGGATCCCTGTGGCACTGTGGGAACAGAACCGGACTGCTAACCACAAGGACAGCAGTTCAAGCCCACCAGCACCTCTTCGGGAACTTTATATACAGTATTCCTATAAGTCAGATCTGACTCGAATGCACTTAACAACAACAAAGCAACCCTTGGGAATCTTGTTTTGGTGCTGTAGCACACCTGCCAGCCACTCTTAAAAACCCCATACGAGATCACTATGAGTAGAACTGATGGGGTGGTACTTAACTACAAAGGCAGCCATTTGAGCCCTGGTGTAGCACTGTAGAATAAGCACTGGACTGTTAAACACAAACTCAGCAGTTCATTCATTCCCACATCCCCTCTCAGAAACCCTGTACTGGAGCACTATGTGTTGGAACTGGATTGATGGCACATAATAGCAACAAGAGACCTCAAAAACTGGAGCATTGAGACTCCCTGGCCGTTCAGATGCTGTCTCAATGTATCTCTGATAACAGTGATATTGTATCTTTATGCTAGGAGTCCTAGTGTGGCACTGTTGGTCAATGTGCTGGACTGCAAAGTCCACTTGAACAAGGAGGCCTATGGTTCAAGTTCAACAGCTGCTCCTTAAAAACCCTATACAGGGTCACTATGAGTTGGAATCCGACTCGATGGCACTTAACACCAACAACAGCTAGGAGTCAGACGAGGTCCCTGCTCCTAAGGTAAGGGTTATGGTAGGCACAGAGTGGGATAGTGGACATAAGTTGGATGTGGTAAGAAAAGTACTTAGCTGTGGGAAAGTGGCAGGAATTGATGGCAATCTTCTCTCAGCCGGGTCTAGATTCCTGTTCCTTGTTGAAAAATCAAGACTCTTTAGTTATGGTAGCTTTAACAAAACTTAACCAAAACTTTTGTGATATATCTGAAGATATGTATAGGGCAAAAAATAGTGCTGTCGAGTCACTTCTGACTCTAGCAACCCTGTATAGGGTTTCCGAGGAGCAGTTGTAAGGTTTGAACTGCCATCCTTGCAGGTAAGAGTCCAGTGCTTATCCTACAGCACCACACCAGGTGTAAGTGTCGTCGAGACTGGATCCGACTCAAAGTAACCTATAGATAGGGCTTCTATGGAGCAACTGATGGGTTTGAACTGCTGACCGTGCTGTTCAAACCACCCTTGCAGTCCAGTGCTTATCCTGCAGAATCACACTAGAACTCCCTCTATGTATATATGTGTTATTATTGTTCAGTGCTGTCAAGACAATTCCTACTTAAGATTTCCTGTAAATCTTTTCGGGAGCAGAAAGCTCCATCTTTTTCCAGCTATGGATTTGAACTGCTGACCTTGTGGTTAGCAGTCCAGTACTTATCATACAGAGCTACCAGAGCTGCTGGAGTAATGAGTAATCCAATATGGACTGGTATAATATTGATCGTGTAGATTCAATATTATAGAGAACAGTTCATGTATTAGGGAAAGGTGATAAGAGTAGTTGCCTTAAATATCAGTTTGCTGTTTAAAATAAAATGTAACTGTTATACTCATGAACAAGAAATCTTGTGGTATAAATGATTAAGCACTCAACTTCTAATTGAAAGGCAGGCAATTAAACTTTGGTATAGATTTCTGGTGTGGAGCTGTAGAATAAGCACAGGACTGCAAGGTCAGTTTGAACCACACCACAGAGTCGGTGGTTCAAACTCACCATTTGCTCCTTGGAAACCCTACACAAGGTTGCTATGAGTTGGAGTTGACTCGAGGATATTTAACAACAAGTCACTCAGGGAGAAAGGCCTAGTGATCTGCTTCTACTGATTACAGCCTAGAAAACATCATGAAACAGTTCTACTCTGTTACATAGAGATACTATGAATCAAAATCACTTCTATACCACCTAACAACAACATACTTAGGAACATTTTGGCAGAAGCTCATCAGTTTCTAGTATCTTATTTTGGTGGAAACTATTCTTAGGAGTATTCGTTCATATTAAATATGAAAATAACTTAAGTTGATATTACTAGCAATCACATACCAGACATAAGTAGCAAATCTTCAGTTCATCCACAAAAATATTAGTCAGAATTAATAAACTAAAATTTGAACTTGAATCCTAGTATGATCTACATTAATAAGTAGGGTCATTATGTTTCCTTAGCTTTGAAATCTGAACCAAAAATTCTACACTCAACTTTCCCAGGAGTCCTGGTGTGGAGTTGTAGGATAACGCACTGGGACCTCAAGATTGGTTTGAACTGCAAGACTGGCAGTTCAAACTCACCAGCCACTTCTCAGAAACTCTATACAAGGTCACTGAGTTAGAACGAACTAGATGGCACTTACCCACAATTTTCCCAAACACTCTTTCTCCACTTGTGAAAACGCAAGCTTGTGAAGCTTTTTGATTGGTCAGTGACCAATTTGGGGGCTTATTTTTGTCATAAGGCGTCCTGGTGGCGCAGTGGTTAAGCATTTGGCTGCTAACCAAAAGGTCAGGGGTTTAAACCCATCAGACACTCGCTCTGTGGGAGAAAGATGTAGCAGTCTGTTTCTGTAAAGAGTGTAGCCATGGAAACCCTATGGGGAGTTCTACTGTTTTCTATCCTAAAGAGCTATTCTGTATGGTCAGTATGAATTGAAATCAACTTGACAACAAAGTGTTTAATTTTTTGGAACATTTATTATTTTTTAATTGTATATTTCATTTTGTTGTCTTAAGTATAAATCACACTTAAAAGGGCAAGGTATTTTTATGATTTGTCATTGGAACCAGGCATGTCATCTCCATCAAGTGTTGTTAGAAATGTAGACTCTCACTAGGTGGACCATTTTTCTCTTGTCCCTCACCCTAGTAGTGTCTTCCAATCATATTTCAGTGGTTCAGAGGAATTTGGAGGAGCCTTCCTCCCTATTCTGAACTCACCTCCCCTGTCTTTTCTTGTTCTCCAGTCAAGTGCAAGCTGTTGAGGAAGCAGCTGGGCAATAGAGAAAGGTCCAGTAGAGGTGAGCCATTTCCATGAGGTCCGACTCTGTCACCTCCAAAGTCTGACCAGATTCCTCAGGGCAAACTGAAGTTGGCCTATACTGCACCAGGCACCAGATGGTCTGGGTATTTTTAGTCATAAGGGAGGGCCTAAAGGAACAAGGACTGATAGCGCCAGCTTTTAAGTTATATATGGAAGATCTGCTCATGAGGAAGTCACTAAAGGGAAATGCTGACCTGTTGCCTGGTTCAAGGGCCTTTCAGCATAGATATAATTTTATCCTTGTTAATTTCAGTAAGGAACAGCCTGTTTGTTTATTTGCTTTTTCTTATAGAAAATCATCTGTAGCCAGACTGGATACTAATTTATGGTCTTTACTAATTCTGAACGTTCCATTTCAAGAATGTCAGAAATATAAACTTTCCGAAACATAACTGGTTGTTGATTCCAGTCAC